AAAACCAATAGCTTTGCTATATACCAATAACAACCACGCTGAGAGGAAAATAATCCCGTTTATAATGGCCTTAAAAGGTGTACCTAGGAGCAAACAGACAATCATTTTAGGTGACATAAAAACACCTTAGGGGATGGGGTTTCTGGCTTCGGTGGTCCTAGACAGCACCTATAGCTAGGACTCTGGGACTGTGTAGGATTGCACAGCACTGCCACAGCACCTTGTCAATATTTTCTATTGTCGGGTTTGTTTTCACTATTAGCTATTCTAATAAATATGTGGTGGTATCGTGTTGTGGTTTTGATTTACCCTTTTCCTAAGAGTTGCAGTGTTCTGTATCTTTTCATGGATTCATTTCCCAACCAGGTAGTAGCATTTGGGGGGAAGAGTCTGTTCAAATATTTTGTCCATTTTTGTTACTGGGTGTTTCTTTTGTCATGAGTGAACCTTTATTTATATACCTCCATTTTTATGTATGTTCTACTAGACTGCAGCGTGGCTCTGCCTCAAACTTTTCTCTTTTAAAACAAAGATCCTTCCTCTTTTTCTTTTCTAAACGAATTGATTCAATAAATGTAAGTACCTAACATGGAAAAATTCCCACAGCTCCTCTGAAATTGCAAACCTAGAGTTTGCTAGAGGCTCAGAGTTCTCTCTGACCAGCACTTTCTGGTTTTGGTTTATGACCTTTTAGGAAGTTCTGCACGGGTGCCTCTAATGCTCCTCCCTAAGCCTCTTCCTGCCTCTGCAGATGCCCACCTCCTTCTGGCTCTATTCACTGGTGGCCAGCACGTTATCATCCCTACTCTGAATCAGAAACTGCCAGTCAGAGGGCACGGCGCAAGCAGGGAAGAGGGACAGAAGGAAGGTGCTGATAAGCTCAAGAGGATGGGGAACTATCTGCAGAGGACCGACGGGTGAGTCCACACTCCCTCTGAGAGCTGGGGAAGGAATGGTGAGAGACAAAAAGAGGGCTGCTTTTGGGGTGAAGGAAACTGGAAAGGGAACTTGACAAGAATTCACTACCCCTGAGCCAGACACAGGGTGAAATCCCTTACAGGATCTCAGCTTGTGGAGAATAGCTGAACTGTAGAAAGACTCCATCAGGGAGGGCTCTGTAAAGGGCATCCATCTAAGAAACGGAGGGCTTGAGAAGGGATGCGCTAGTGGGCTCTTGATGTTCTCAAATGAACTCATGAGCACCCACCCTCTCAGAAATTATTTAAATTTAAAATAAACAGCACAATTCCAGGCACCATGAGGCTTCAGTTCGTGCACATTTACCTATCTTAGAAGAAGCGAAGGAGAGATCCTGTCACTGGGGAAAAGACCAATGTTCTTGGACTTTGGTTGCCACAGTTTAAATGGCAATGATAATATAACCCATACTCTGCAGGGTCCGAGTATGGGTGACAGTGGCACAGTCCTGACATACAAGGGCTCGGTAATTAGAAGCTATTCTCATTTTTTGAACCACCGCTTTCATTCAACCAAAGCAACCATATGCAAAAAAATTGTATCAACAAATATAAGGGGATTTCTAGTGTACAAAGTGAGGTAGTCTAGAGAGAGCGAGCTGGCAGGGGGTTACAGGATTGCACTTGCTACCCCCTTCTCAGATAGTGTGCCACTGGAAAAGAGAACACAGAAAAATGATCTGTGCCAAGTGCCACTTACCAAAAGGGGGCTTGAGAGTCTCTTCCTGAGAACCAGTGTTATCTGAGACTTCTCTCTGAGTTTTCTTGAGTGCTGTGTCGTCTTCTAATAGTCTTCTAGACGATCCTGAATCACTACCTTTAGGTCTAGATGTGAGATCCTCTGATGGAAAGGTTGTTTCTTATTGTTTGCTCAATGCCTCCTGAACTCCTGGGTCCCATCTTTTCTGCCACACAACAGGCACTCAGGAAGCATTAGCCGGTCAATTGGAACAAGTCCCGAGGAGAATAAACACAAAATGTGGATCTGATAGAGAGGAGGAGACGTAGCAACTGATGTACTTTTGTTTTCCAAACCTTGTTGGGGGATGAAGGGTTGCAGCGTTGACATATATTTTTGAGAAGATGCAAAGTGCAGAAAATACAAGTCAGAGAAAATGAGAGGAACTGGTCTTTCCAGCTGTAGTAACTTACAGTATTAGAATCGTTACCTTTGATTTCTGTATCCATCAGTCATTTGTGTTTAGTAATCTATGAGGAGTCAGTAACGCCTTCGGTCCATGTCTGTTTCAAGTTTTAATCTATTTTGTTTCATTAGGAATAAAAGCTATTTGCGTTTTGAAGAAAATAGTTTTTTTTCATAAGTTACAAAAATAGTAATTTTCCAATCTGTACCACCTAGACTCATGATTCTGTGTTTATTACGTTTCGAAGATGATTGAATTAAATCTACATGTCATTTAGGCCCTTAATATTGCATTTATACTTACCAGTCTTTCCTTATCTTTATTTTACACTTAATCCAATATATTCAATACATGGTATCAGATATTACTTTCTCCCTAAATAACTTCCTAATTGCTCAGTATCCTTATTGTGCTGATTTATTTCCTTTGATATATTCAAAGTCCTATATAAAGTGGGACCTGACTTCCAACTTTACTTGGTTTTCAACCAGTTGGCACATTTCCTACCATGTCTCTGAACCCATAGCACTTATCCCTTCATAGAAAAGAGCTCAAGGTCTCAGAGGGAGGCATCTGCCCAAAGAAAACCCAGGTTTTCCCCATTACTTGTTGTAGATCCTCAGTCAGGTCACCTAACAATCTTGTTCTCTGTTTCCTCAATGGTAAATAATGGCACAATAATATCAACCCATGAGTTTGTTCTGGGGCTAAATTAAATATAACACACAAAATAACTGGCATTTCGTATATAATATACTAAAATACATATATGCTAAAATAATAAATATACTAAGCAGTGTTTGTCCGTTTTATTTCTTCATATCCTTAGCTTTCAGGAAATGAAAAGAAATACAGAAATCCAACCCAAACAATTAATGAATTTATTCTCTTTATTTAATTCTTTTCTTGCCTTTCTTTCCTTTGTCCTCTGTCTCTGGAATTCCAATGAAAGATGGTGACTCCGAGAAACCCACTACTTGAGTGAAGCCCCTGCAAAAGCTGCAAACAGATAGTGACAGCTGAGGGGTTTGGCCCTCTCCCTCTGTACTGGCGTTTTCGGGGTTGTAATGAGGATTCCTGGGTGTGCTTTAGGATCATAGGTATAGGCAGTTTCTATAGTGATGGAGGAGACATCAGATCTGAAGCAGACTGTCCTGTGATTCAGGAGGGAGTCTTAACAGACTGGAGAGACAAGGGAAACGCTGAGCTGATTCCAGGATTGCACACAGATGGAAGAGAAGAAGAAAGTTGAGAAAACAATAAAAAGTAGTGGGAATTCTGGGAGGAAACACTTTGCTTATTTCCAATATTTAAGTCGTAGGTGGCAGCTGGACATTCACGAGACACCTCATAATCAGAGACTCCAAAATGCCAAGCAGAGGACACGCAGGTGAGAACAGACTCTACCCCACTCCCAGGTGAGAATACACTTTACCCCCCACACACACTCTTCCAGGTGAGATCGCACTCTATCCTATTCCCCCAACTTATACCCAGGAAGAAGGAATCTGTCAGGGTTGGGATTTCACGTTCCCTGCAACTGAATTCTTGAGAGGGAGTCAACACCAGCTGTAATGGTAGGAAACTAGGAAACGTGAAAATGGGAGAAAGGACAGCAACACTTTTGAACACTGGAAAATGTGCCGCTTTTTTCTCACTCTAGTATATCCCTTGGCAACAGGAACTAAGACACAGTGGTCCCCCATATATCTTAGGAAATAATGGTCTGAAATACTGTTGTCTCTGTTTGTTGAATGAAGTATCTTTGTACTCAGGTTCCTCCTAGCTATGTAATTTTAAACCTTAAGTTTCTAATTCTAAGGTAACCATACCCCACCCCCAATCACAGTGCTGGAAGGTGTGTGGAGAAGCACTTGTATTTGCACTGCAGCTGCCTCATCCATCCTTCCTGACTGGGCCTGTTGAGCATCCAGTCCTAAGGAGTTCCTTCTAAGGAAGGAATTCTGCACTATAGAAGTAATGCCCCAGAGTCTAATTCCAAATTGTGGCAAAGTGATCCCACAGCCTGTGGCCTTAGTAGCACTTTCCATAAGATTTTGGGAGGTGTTTTGAGAATGGATCCAGAGACAAACCACCAAGTCAAGGCTGAGCCAGGGAAGGGGCTCAATGTTCTCTTCCACCCAAGGCCACATTTCTTCAATAGAAATTGAGAATTATGTATTTTAAAAGGCATCAATGAGTATCTATTAAAGTATGTAGTCCACATGATGAAATGGATCAAAAAGGATATGGGGATTATGACAAGGGGGAGAGAAAGGATAGACCCTAGAGCAGAAGAAAACCACGAAAAGACAATAGCCTAGAATTGGTGGCATCTCTATGATGTCACATATATTTATCTGTCCTGATTCATGGTCACGGGGGAGCCATGCTTCCCTGTGCTGCCCCTTCTGAGGGAACTACAGGAGAATCTTACGGGGCAGGGCCTTTTTAGATGGTGCTTTCCAGATGTCTTTATCTAATGTAGCTAGTACATGTGTGTTAAAAGGCTTTCATGTTCAACTTATCTGAACTCACCCTAAACCAAAACACATATATTGAAACACAGAAATTCAAGGAAGTAGTGAGGAGGAAATAGCTTACAAATAACTTTTTCCCATATCAACTTTGTTTTACCCTTATGACTCCATGAAGGCAATACTACATATATCCCCATTTTCTAAATTAAGAAAGTGTGGCTGATGTTGTTCCGACATATGGATCCAGTGGTTCAAAAAACATTTCCTTTCATGTCACTTTCATATCCCCTTAGTGAGCCTGGTTTCTTAGCATTGGTTAGATTCAGGAGTTTCCTTATGCTATCTCTTAGCAACAGAAGATGAAAACAAATGTCTTACATGGCACAAAGACCACTGAAGGTAGCCTGAGGAAGAAGAGCTGTGGCCATGCCCTATACCCCAAAGGACTCTGATGATACATAGACCCTGGAGGGCATCAGGATTCCTAACCAAGCTGATGATCATAGCCAAAGTCACAGTGGAATGAGCCTTTCATCCTCTACCCCTTCTGAGAGATCTCCAGGGAAAGCTTACTAGGCGGTGCATTTTTAGGTAGCATTTTCCAAATATCTTTCATAAAAGTAACTGGTACATGTAGTATGTTAAAAAGTCTTTCATGGTCAACCTTGTATGTAGTTGGCTATGCCTCCAATTCAGAAAGGTATACAGAATGTTAGACTCCAAATTGGATACCTGACTTCAGAAAGACTGTAAGCCTATCTACCATCTACCATAAAAAGCATAAACCTTGTTACTTGGTTATACCCTTGGTAGAGCTTATGACCTCCTATTTTGGTGGATCTGCTCTTGCCTGTTCCTTATTTATATCTCTATTGAATATTTTGGAAAAACAAGTTTACTGTGTGCCAGATACTATGGCATTCCCGGGTGACATAAACCATGATAGATGAGATGAATACAGTTTCCAACCTTGTGAAGTTCACATTCTAGTAGCTATGGACAAGTGATTAGTCAGAATGTAGTGCAAGCAAGAGAGATTCCGAGTGCTGTGAAAACCTGAGTAGATACTGCCTGACCCAAACAAACTGCTTTCCCAGATGTCCACACACTTGTACCTTGATTTTTTGGAGATAATTCTCCCTACCTCTTCATCGTAAGGAGCCAAGTGAGTCACTGGAATTGTGGGTCATAACATATTTTTTTTTCCCTTGAAGAATATAACAGAAAGTTTTTTTTCCCTTGATCAAGAACTGATGGTGTCACCTTCATATATCCAAGTCACATAAGTGAATTCTTGCTTAAGAAATAAACAAAGAAAGCAGGTCACTGACCCTGTCCTCTCTCTCAGGTACTTCAGGTGCTGGAGCTGTCACATTGTTGAAGGGTGTTCCTGCTTTCCCTGGTGAGTGCAGTGGAGCTCTGAGGAGTTATTTCCCTAACTGTGGTTACAGTGTGGGACTTGTAAGGTACCTGTGAACTCCCTCCCCTCTGTGGTCACACCCAAAGCCTGGTACTAAGCCCAGATACAGTCACCCGAGAGTCAATCAGGGAAGCAGCCCCTGGAGCCCGGTGAGAATCAGGAACACTTGTCTCATCATGAGTGATAGGCTCTCCTCACTTGGGTAAGTCTCAGAAGCAAGGCTGAGACTAATATCGAGAAAGACTCTCCACACTGTAGATCCCATATATAGAAACCCACATTTCTGTCCTTTGCATAGAGAATTTGTAGTCCCGATGATACTACATTGTATGAACTGAGACACCTTTGGGAGTGAAAGCGTTGCTAAAAAGAGCTAATCATCACTGAGTGATTGATAATGACATTAACCTGACTGAGCAAAGAAGTCTTACAACAGTTGTGTCCTCGTCTCTAGCTGACAACAGGCTTCCATCATATTTGTACTGCACCAGGGGTTTCTATAGCGTGGATTCTAATGGAAGATACTTTGTTTTTTGTTTGAGTCATTATAGATTAGACTTGGGGTTGAAGCACCTCCACTTGCATGATATGAAATAAGCTGGAAGTTTGTTGTCAGAAAGTCTCCAAAAAATGTAACTACATAACACCACAGTTCTATAATTCAGTTCCGTTTCAGGTTGGAGGAAGGAGGAGCAAGAGAGGAATATGTTTCTCTTTGGCCACATCTTACATTTTTTTCCTCTTTCTTTTTCTCTAATTCCTATATATTGAAAGTGGTGTTATAAAAAGTCTGCTAGACCCCAATCTTATCCAAAGGAATATTGACAACTAATTACTACTAGATGAGGAACAGCTGACCCTCCTAAAACAAAGACCTCTAGATAGGCTGACTAGATTCACCAGAAGGGCAAGTAGTGGGGAATGGCAGGGGAGGGAGGCTATGGGAGGGTGCTATCTGGGAAGTGGGTATAAAAAAAAAAAAGTCTGCTAACTTTAACGAAGACTGAAATTGAAGTTTCATAGGTTGGTATAATTTCTCTCAAGAGTGTCTGAATATTGGAACAATCTATTTACTTCTTCCTTACAGGAAAAACATAACCACATTTAAAGCCAGGAAAGATTCCCAGAAGCAAGGTAAACCATCATCTAGTCATCATTTTCACATTTGATAGGCTCACATTTCTAAAATATCTCTTTCCTGTACCCCCAAACCCCATGAGTATATTTCTAGTATAAGCCTACACATTGCTGAATTTACCCAGTTCCATGTTTTGGTCCCCCCACCCCCATTAGACTATGGGCTCATGGAAGCAGGAAGAACGGATGCCAAAAGACCTCTTAGGAGGCTGTTGGGACAAATCCCTGTTAAAGCTGAAGAAGACTAAGGCTTGAGAAGAGGGTAGAAAACCACATCACAAATAAGAAAGAATAAAGAACGTGTAGGCGTGAGACCGACCTTAGCATTTCTGAAGAAAAGTGGAATTTTGTCTTTCCTTCCTCGGGTTTAAAATGGAAAGTACATTCCATCTGTGCACTGAATCTTAAAAGCCAGCTCCATGTGTATATATATGCATGATCTAGCCTTCCCACTCTGAACCATTTCACCCCAGGAACAATGAGTCCCAAGGAAGTCCAATTTCTATCAGAGTAGAACATGACAGAAATAAGACCACTGATGCTAAAATCCAGAACCTTTTATTCTAATGATAATCAAAGACATCCTAGACGGCCATAAAAATGTATGGGAATGTGAGAATCAAGAGAACTATAAACCCAAAAGGCACATGATCCCTCCATGGACAGCACTCCCTCCTGCACAGGTTTCCATGGAGAACATCTGTCTGCTTACTCAGCTGTGTGCCAAGGGTAGCAAGTGCACCTCTTCTCATCAGTCAGAGCCAGTTGGTTTGAAGTAAATTGCCTTTTGAAAAATTGTCTTGCTTGTACTTATATCTGCCAGTAGCCACAGGAGTAGAAATGTGGATGTCTGAGTTCCTCCCTCTGAAAAACTTTTCTTAAGTGCCAGTCCCCACAATACCACCATCCCGTGTTACCTACATCTTTCTGCACTGTGAGTCTCTCATAGCTGCTTGTAAATCCTCTGAGCTGGCCTGTGAGCCTCAAGAGGACAGGCTGTTTCTAATGTGTTTAGAAAGAGATATCTCCTTGATATCTCTTATCAAGTAGGTGTGCAACGGATATTGTGTAAAGATAGAGCAACTCATGATTTACCACCCAAAGATTCACCATATGTGTCTCTGTGCCTCTCTCCGCTTGTCCTCTCAGCCTGAGCAAGTTCTGCTGCTTCTTGTTTAGGTTGTCCTGTGACTCCTCAGGGATTTAGACCCAGAAGAGCTTAATAAAAGCTACTCCCACTATCTAGGAAGAGTCATAACTCTTGGCTCTCTGGCTACAAGCATTCAGTCCCACCTCCTGGAGTCTCTTTGTAATACAACCTGAAATTCATTGAGTGTATTTTCTTTCTGCAGATGAAGGGATGACTTCTGTCTCTATCCAGGTAATACGACCGTTCTGACCACAACATGAAAGAAACAGATGCCAGGGCAGGAAGTCACCACCATTTGCAGGGACTGGTAGCTGAAGCAGCAGCATCTGTTATATAACTTAGTACTGGAAGGAACTAGCATTTTCTGAGACCTTCATTTATGACAGGCCATGTGCTAAGTGCTTGACAGTTATCTCATGTAACTGTCACAACAAACCAGAAGACTGTGCTGTTGTAGCTCCTCACTTCACAAATGGAAGAACCCAGAGATTAAGTGACAGTCTCCAAAGCCAGGCAGCTGCAAGAAGGCACAGCCCACATTCAAAACCCAGTCTCACTCCAACATCCACACTCTGACCCCTATACATTGCTGCCTCTGGTTTTTAAGCCGTGAAATTGCACTAGTGAGAATTTTCCTTGAATTAATAATACAATAATCTCTACAATGAAGGGTCTGTGGATGTAGCTCAGTTTGTTGTGTTTGTCTAGCATGGATGAAGCCCTGGGTTCAATCCCACATAGAGCATAAATGAAGTGTAGTGATAACATGCTCCCCAGCACTCAAGATGTGGAAGTAGGAAGATCAGAAGTTCAAGGTCACCTTTGGCTACATAGGGGCCAGCCTGGGATACATGAGACCCTGTCTCAAATAATAATAGTAATAATCCCCACAGTGAGTGGTTAAATATCATAACCCAACCAAGTCAAAGTCCTCTGAGACGATGAGAATTATACAGGATGGTCAGGGATTGCTTTGAACACAGGGAAAAGGGACACACCTGAATCAGCTATATGCTTTGGGTGGCATGAGCTCCATCTCCTGGCCTAGTGGTTGGAATGAGGGCAGCCATATTGCAAAAACTGCCAAGAAATAGAGAAGGAAATGGTGGTGAAAGAGACTTTCCAGTCAGGCCCATGTCGAGACTGAAGTATAAAGGGAATGGAAAGAGGCCACATCTTCATAATGACTCTCCTGTGATCTGCAGGACAGTGCTAACCAGACCTACACAGAGGAGCTATGCTACATCTTTGTCAATCACAAGGCCCTCAGGAGAAGGCCATCCGGAAACTCTGCTGAGGGGCACTATGAGAATGTCTCCTGCAAAACTGAGAGGCCTGGGGAGTCTTTGAAAGGAACTGAGACTGAGTATTCAGTTCTCCGTGTGCCTTCCACCCCTTGGTCCCCACCTTCCCCAGAAGATGAATATGAGCTTCTGGTGCCTATGCCTAGCAGATTCTCCTCACATGCTCCACAACAGCCACGGTCACTTACAGCCCCTTTTGAGACTCACTTTTCCTATTTACGATGATGCGACTGGGCTAGAGTTTGTTTTGGACAGGCAGATGAAAGTAAGGATCAGGGGTATCAGCTGGAGCAGGACTGGGGCGCACAGCTCCCTTACTTTTTTCTTTTAGAGTCTCAGCAGGACAGATTGCAAACCACAAGGTCTTTTAGAGCCTGTCAATAGCCCATATCCCCAAATCAATCAATTATCTTGAATACCCTATTTGAAAATAAATCTTTGCTTCTAATTGGTATTAAAAATACTCTGTGGAAGGAAAGACTCCCTGATCACTTACCCTGGGTGTATCATAAAAGGTTCTGCTCTTCCCTCTGAGTCCTTCTGAATTTTCCCTATGATTGTACTGTGAAGTCCAAGGAAGCATCAAGTGTCCCTGAGAGGGAGTTCACTCATCACCCTGAACTCCCAGCTCAGCCCCACTGGCCATGGGAGCCTGTGGAACTCTTACTCTATGTCCCTAAGATGTCATTTACTCTGTCCTTTGACTCATGGCCCCATGACTTGGAATTTCCAGTACCTCTATTAAGATCATTTTAATTACATATTTTTTAATTTTGTATTTCTCCTCATAATTTTTTTCTTTTTTGGAGGAGGGAATTACTCCATGCTAGACAAGTGATCTACCACTAAGCTGTACCCCAAACCCCTCTATACATCTCAACAGGACAATCATAGTATCAGAGACTGATGTGGCAAAAAGACCTTTGGAGATCCTTTAATCCCACTATCTCCTTTTTGCAACTGAGAGAAAAGAATTTGCCCAATGATACATTAAAGTTGGTGGAAGAACTTTATCCAGAGTCTGATTTCCTGATTTATAATTTGGCCTCCAATATATTATATAGAAGACTGTCTAGTATATAGTAAATTCCTCAAGAAATAATGTGGCACATATGAAATAGCCACATGGAAAAAATATACACACACCCCTTCTCTAATGAGCACTCCTCTGTATACCTTGATTTATTTCCCTTTATCTTTTCCTGAACTTCTAGAATTGTGTCTATCCCCAGTTAGCAAACTATAGCCCACTGACCAAATCTGGCCCACCACATATTTTTTAGATAAAGGTTTATTGAAACACAGTCACACTAATTTGTCTACACACTATCTATGGTTGGTTAATCATGGTAAAGTTGAGTTGTTATGACACAGACCAGAAACTCTACAAAGTCAAAAATATTTCTAGTTTTGCTTCTTCCAGATAACAATCTTTGCAAACTTCTGCCCTAAATAGTCACAGTTTGCAAAAAACTTAACAGACATATGCTTGGTTATTGATGCAACTTATTAAAAGCAGATACCAATGAAATGTCAGGAAAATATCAAGCCACAAATGCGATGAGTGAAACTAAAAACAATTATTAGCAAATTAGACTATTTCTATATTCACACCTGCATCCTCAAGGTGCAGCACTATTTATCTCATGGCCCCTGTGCTAATTTTAGATATGCTAAAATAGCAAGAGTTGTGTGGAGTCAAGCTGTGGATTGTATGTCTAATCACTGTTTTGTTCTCAGAGCTAAATCTCTTTTCTATTTAAAAGTCTAAAATTACAAAGCAGGGAACTCCATAGTAGAGTCTTTGCCTAACATGCACAAGACCCTCCGTTTGATCCCAAGCACAAAAAATAAGTAATGAATTATAAAACAAAATAGGCCAAGTGCCCATTGAAAATGAATCCAGTGGCTTGTGGTCTGCTGAGCCAGTTGATAATCTGCAGCTAAAGAGCCAACCGTATTTTGATATCTTGACCACTAACTTCCTATTTTTACAAAATTCTTTCATATAAAGTCACTCAGTTCAAAAGGAGGTATTCATGGTGACAGGAAATGCTGTGTGAGACATAGCACATTACTTGTGGGAATATTGGGGGCTGGAGAAAGATAACCACTTATTCAAAGTGTAGTTTCCTTTCTTCTTCCTCAGAATCTGAATCAGTTACTTAGAGGTTCAGTCTTTTGCACCCCTAAGTCAGAGGACTACATCTAATATACGAACATATGTACCCTGGACCTTGAGTAGAAATGATAAAGAAAAGCAGGTCTTTTACGATGTATGGAGAAAAGCTGCTGCTGTGACAAGTAATCCACAGCCATCCCCTCCCCAGCAACTCTCCAGCAAGGCAGAGGCATCAGACTGATGAGTTTGTGCTAGAATTTTTCACATAGATACTAAATCTTTGTGGAAGATGGTTGGTTGAAAGATTCTTAGTACAATAGTATTAAGTACTTAATACAAGCTACATTTGTTTGAACCTTATCCTGGGAAAGAATGACCTGTTGCATACACAAATACCTTTTTATCACAACCATATTCAGTATAAATGCTTAGAAAAAGAAAGTTACTATTATACAGAAATTAAAAGGACCATAAAACAGTCTTGTTTTTAGACAGAAGAGTCATTTGGGAATGCAAAAAAAAAAAATGCCTGCTATTGAGGGTTGGGGGGACAGACAACAAGATCACTCTAAGGGAAAAGCATTTACCAAGCAGATCTGATGACTTGAGTTTATTCCTCAGATCCCAAGGTGGAAGGAGAGAACTGACTCCTAAACTTGTCTTCTGACCTCCACATGCTACCGCCACCACACATCACATAACACACAAATAATAAACTAAATTTTTAAATGTACTATGCATATAGCATTATTGATCAATCAAAACATATAAATAAAAACCCAGCATAGAATTGGAGAAATGAACAGGAGATCCCAACCTTAGCCAAGGCACTATTTTGGCAACTTATTACTGATAGGTGAGGGACAGTTGATTTTCTTTAAGGGAGTGACTCTAGATAGGCTAAACAGGCTCCAGTGGGTACATCTGGGAAGTGGGTCTAAATATGATTAAGATATATTGTATGAAAAAACAAAATTAAATAAAAATTTAAACTTTTAAATATTTATTAAAATATCTAAAATAAGGATTGTATTTAATTAAAATTTAAAATATTAGTATAAGAAGAAAGATTTTGAGAAAGATAAAAGTTTAGAATATTGTTATGGTTTGAATATGAGATGTCCCACAGAATCCTTTGTTTAAGCAGTTGGATTGGTCTGCAGTTGGCAACAGTGTTTTGGGAGGTTGACGAACCTTTAGAACTGTGGCCTAGCTAGCAGAAATGGGTCCCTGAGGGAGGCAGAGAAATTGAAGGTGATATCTGCCCTGGTTTTAGCCAGATATCTGTTTCCTGATCTGCCAGAATGTGAACACCCATACCATAAGCTCTGACCACTAAGGACTGGATTTCTCCAGTCTCCATGCCTTCCCTGATGTAAAGGACTGCTGTCTAGAACTGTGGGCCAAAAAAAAACTTGCTTCCCTTGATGCTTCTGCCATGTGTTTTGTCACAACAATGAGAAAAGTAACTAATCCACAAGCTTAATACATATAATATCATAGGTATTCTAGCAAGTAACTTTTAGGGTCGAAACATACTCATTGGACCCAAGCTTTTCCCTTTGACATCAATGATCTCCAGACTCCCTACACACACACACACACACACACACACACACACACACACACACACACCACATGCATGCTTACAGAGGAGCTATGGGCAGTGGATAGTTGCTGGGAGAGGATCATTCGTTTTGAGGATGGCCACTGGTAGGTTTCCCAAGCTCCAGTGAATGGCCCCACATGCATATAGGCAACTCTAATTGGATTTAGTGGATTATCAAAAATAAAGATATAAACTTGGAGAGAACTGCATTGAAGGGATATGGGGGGAATTGGAAGGGGAAATGAGTAGTAGACAGTATATTCAAGATTCCTGCTGAAAGCTGGGCACTCTATTGGCAGAAAGTGAACATTAACACAGATATACATGCACATGTGTGTGCAGTTTCATTAGGTTAGAAATGCAACCCCTCAGTTAAAGAATCCATGTTCTTGATATAGAAACTGAGGCTAAATATTTAAATTATTTTTAAGTCACAAAAATGACTAAAAAACCTACCCCCTCCCCATTCCCCTGTGCGGTGCTTCAAACTGTGCATAGCCCAAACTGAAGGCTACACCGGGCAGAGCCACTGCAGGCTTTGTGGTTTCTGCTTACACTCATGCTAGCACTTATAAATAAGCTCTTATTCCATGGATAGATTCTTATTTTAAATGGAGGAAAGAGGTAGGAAAGGGGCAGAGACAAGGTGGAAAAAGTCTACTGTCGACAAGTTCGAGTACTGATGTTATTGGAAAAAAACTGGTGAATGAGCACTTTAAGGATTCTCAGCGGATGGAACGGCATAGGGGAAACATGAATTTCCAGAACTCCACAGAGGAAAGCAGGCTCTCTCCTGTTGCATATGGCTGGCTCTATTCCAAGGCTGGCTTCTGGGTTTCCTAAGCCTAGACTCTGAAATTCAAAGAGTTGACTTATTCTGAGTGTATGTTGGTTCTGGCAACTGCTAAGTGGATCAGTGTAAATCCCCCTATTTACCAAGAGGGTTTTTTTCTAGGTAAGAGTGTTTTGCCTGTATATGTGTAAGTGCACTTCTGTCATATGATGCCCACAGATGCCAGAAGAGAGTATCGGATCCCCTGGAACTGGAGTTAAGGATGGGTGTTAGCCACCATGTGGGTGCTGGGAGCCCAACCTGGGTTCTCTGGAAGAGCAGCCAGTGCTTTTAACCACTAAGCCATCTCCCCAGAACCCCCTAGAGGGAAGTACAAGGAGAAAGTACATGGAGAAAGGCCAAGGGATTATTTTCATAACAGAGTCTTCCTCCGTCTGATGGCCACACTTCTCAATTTATTTGCTTATGCTCCTTGTAGATTCCCCGATGTCAATCAAGGCTGAACTGAACATGACCTTGGCGTAACCATTCTTCCTGTGTGATGACTCAGCAATCTGAGCTTTGTCTCCCCGAGACTGTAGAACTAGACAACTCCTTCCCTCTCTCCAGGCTTTGGCTTCCCATCTGTACCATGATGGAGCTGCCTTCTGATACTGAGACTCCATGGTGCTACACACAAAGAAAGCAGTAGCTAATGTACTGAATAAGGACAACAGCAAAAGTGTCAAGTGAGCACCCAATAACGGGAGAGAAGGGAAGGCTTTGACATACTTCCCCTATTTTCTTTGCATTAATCACACTCTGAAAAGAGCAAGAATTCATGTCAAGAATCTCTATCTGTAAAAAACTAAAAAGGAGCTTAGTGACACAGTGGCATCTGGCATGCATGAGTTCCTAGGTTCAATTCCCAGTACAGAAAAATGCAAGCAAAAGGAGTCTTGGCTTCATTATAAGACACAAACATGAAAAGGCAGATCTACTTCTTCACCCTCTACCAGCACTTCAGGGACAGCTTGAGCCTCCACACAAAGCCTTCGCCAAGTTAACTATATACATGGATCATTCTTTTCTCTGACCACCCACAACCCTAGGGCTTGTCGTTCCTGTTTACAGTTAAGCCTGCTGTTTCTCCTCTGCTAGTTCCTGTTTCATCTGTGCAGGTCCTGTTTCTCTAATAATTATTAACACCTTATTTTCTTACTGTATCCTTCACTTGTCTTCTCTATATTTCTCACAAAACGCATCATTTAAAAACCTGCATAATAAAAAGAAATTGACAAGCAAAAAGGAATTGCAAGCATGGCTAGAATTTTCGTTGGCAATGGGACAGGAGTGTGACTCTGTGAGTATCTCTGTTCTATCCATAGATAAGTGACTTCCCCAAAACAAGGTTTTCAATTCAAATCTTCAGTTATTTCACAGGTACATGTTGAAATCTTACAATGCAC